CCCCCTTCATTGAGCTTTTCTGCACAGCTTTTTGACATTCTGCTCAATAAGGACTCCTTGTACAAACAGATTTTTTAGATGAAAAGCATAAACTCCATAAGAAAAATTACAAAACTCTCGGGGGTGACTACAGCCCGGTCAGTGTGAGTGCCCAGCGGCCCCCACTCTAGTGTGCTGACTTCACATCCAGCATGTCACCCAACCTCTCTGATCAAAGCCTCCTCAACTAGAAAACGAGGGGGTTTGACGACATAATCTGCATGTTTCCTGCCTGTCCTAAAATGCTAACTGCTAATGATAATCATATCTTATTTTTTAAGTCACCAAAATGTATAAAGGGTACACATAGACTGAAGCTTGAGGGCAACTTTTCAGAATCATTGCTCGCTCACACTCCCTGCCCAGTTGGAGAGAGGGAAGCAGGTACCCAGGTGTTAAGAATAATCACACACCATCTCCACTCTCTCTATTCGGTGGCCCTGAAATTCAGTCATGGCTGGAACTGTTTCTTGTTGGAGACTTTCTCACTGCCCCTGGCAAGTTACAGGTTGCGGGGAGAGGGTATGTAATAAATACAACTTGATTCAATGCGCTGCCTTGAAATGCACACCCTAAGCAAACAGCTAAATGCTTCTGCAGGCTCATGCTTGAGACCCATGCTGGAGCTCCTAGGCTGTCCTGTACTGGAACTCGGGCTGCATGTTCAAGGGCACACAGAAGCCCTGTTTCTTTAAACTGTGGAGGAAGAGGACCAGCACTGATGTCTTTCTGGCACATTATTCATCTCTCACCATTCAGTCATCATGCCAACTCACGGAGGAGAAAACATAAGAATACCCAAACTACCACTTAGAGAAGTAAATACTCTCAAAAATCTCACCTTTGAAACACCAAACAAAATGACAAGGCCATTTAAAAAAGAAAAAAGTAAAAATCATGTTACGTTCTAAATATCAACAGCATATCTTGCTTAAAACCTAGCAATTTGTTGCTTATTTTAAAAGGTGGATCCCTTTTATACTTATTAAATGGATTTTTTTTTTTTTTTTGATAAGAATAAGGGAACAGTAATAGAAGGCTCCACCCTCTAGACCTCTCAAATGTCTGTCAAGCACAAAAATGTTGAGAACTTGGGGCAAATCTTTAAATTTAGCATTATAATTAACTTCAACATTATATAACTTAAAATAGCTTTTCCTGACTCCCATCTGTCCAAATCCCCCAAAAACAAAAGAAAAGTGAAAAGTTTCAATAAATAATTGCACAGTGTGTCTCGAAGATGACAATCTTCCTAACCATGGTCTTAGAGTATTTTTACTGACTCCCATCAGGTTCGTTACTTAAGTGCTTTGACAAGTATGACAAGCTTGCACAGTGGATTCGGGCTTCAAGAGCAACATGCCTCTATAGGCATTGCCTACAAAACGCTGATTTTGTAAAAGCGACATCATTCAACACTGACATTCGAAGTTTTCCCGGATCACCCAATTTATCCCATCTTTAGTAATTAGCAGTGAACACTTACTTCCTTCAACCTTCTCATCTTTGCAGGTTTTCTGGGAGCTATATGAATATAACTGCAAAAGAAGAAAGAAAAACCTAATTAGAATGTAAATATTGAGGTGGAAGATCAGAGCCTCTTGAGAGAGGACTCCTTTTTGTAATTCCCATAAGAGATTCCACAACAACTTAAACTAGAGTCAAGAGCAGCACATGGGACATGGACACCCAATGGCAAGGTCAATGGCAAGGTCACCGCAGGACAATGCCCCAATGGCTGCCATTGGCAACAGCCATGGGAAACTGCCTCCTGAGTGACCCTCTTTCCCTCCTATAACCTTATTAATCCAAAAGGGACAGTATCAGTCATCTAATTCAACCTCCTTATTTAGCAGGTCATCAAAGGGCCCACGAGTGAGCTCACCCAGAGTCCTGCAAACTGGCCAGAGTCAGAGCAGAGTCCCTCCCTATCCAGCTCCTCATCACCTGCACCATCCCCTCCTGTCACACAGAATCACATCATTGTCTCCGTTCTGCCAAAACTGAACACCGGGAAATGTCACCAGAATAACACATATGTGAGCCCCACTAGTACAACTTTTGACACTTGGGGACTTTTGGAGAACCCTCCATATGCCTCAAAAAAAGAACAGATATTTTTTTCATGATAATAAACACCTTAATTTTATATCTTTTAAAGTTTCTTCCTGATTTAAAAAAAATATGTATCTGAGATTGTTGTTGTTGTTGACAGTTTTAGCAATATTCAGAGAAGGACTGACTAAGAGTTGGCAGTGGGAAGGAAAAAGGAGTTAAGAAGTATTCAGTAGAGTCAGGAGTCACAAGCCAGATGCCTACAGAGGCCAGGCAAGTAATGACGATGCTTGCCCAGGGCAGCATTAGGGAATGGTGGGGACTGTGGCGAGCTTGAGCCCACTTCCTGCCTGAGGTGAGCAGTGCTCATTGATCCAGGGCACTGGTCTCACATGGAAATGCAGGCAACTAAAAACTCCATCCTTTTGAACAATTCAAATCCTCTATTTCTTTTTTCAATAAAACTAAAATGTCATACTATTACATGAACCCCCCTTGTTATAAAATGTCCCAGCCAATTCACATCTTTGAAAACTGTGTGACGCAAACTAAACATGGCACAATCAGATCTCTGGCTCACCACCTCTGCTTGTGGCCCTTGTATGAGCTCTTCTTCCAGTTTTAACCCCCCAAATTCCGTGTTTGATTATGAACAGTAATCCCCAAAGGAGACAACTTATTCTATCATTAGGTGGGAAAAAAAGTAAAAATAAATGCATGGGGTGCCTGGGTGGCACAGTTGGTTGGGCACCCAACAATTGGTTTTGGCTTGGGTCATGATCTCAGGGTCATGGGATCAAGCCCCACATAGGGCTCCATGCTCAGCGCAGATTCTGCTTGGGATTCTCTCTGCCCCTGCCCCTCCCGCTCATACTCTCTCTCTGCCTGTCTCTAAAATAAATAAATCTTTTTTAAAAAAGTAAAAATAAATGCAGAAAAACTAAGGCATAAAATGATCCTACAAAAACACAAAATGCTATTTATTGTTTCAATGGTGCATTCCAAAGAACACACAAATACAAGAGAGAGAGAGAACAAGTAATTCCTCAGAGATGCAGTGAACTGGAGTCTTCAGGCCAGTGCTTGGAGACGGGCTTGGTGGGGTGTGGGTTTCCTTGAAGGGGGGAGAGGGGCGTAGGCATTTGAGCAGAGACTGGATGTTAACGAGCCACGTCCTTCCGAGCTGCTTCCAGAGAACAAAGGAAAGGAAGAAACTTCCCATTTGAATCAAGCCAGGCATATTAAAGTAGTGCGTTCATTAAATTCTTACAGCACCACATTGGATATGAACTAACCCCATTGTATTGATGAGGACATGGATCTTCAGCAAGGTCATTTAATTGGCTAAATGCTACTGAAATAGGAAAAGCCAGGATTCAGTTTAACCCAGGCCTTCTGTCCCTGAGACCACATTCCTGATACTCTGGCTGCCTTCTTCTCCCTGATACCCACTCTCCTCAGGATACAAACAGGTGGCAAGCAGACAGAAGTAAATGTTGGGTGCAGGCAAACTATGATAGAGTGATTTAAAGCTCTTTCATTTCATAAATCAACAACAAACTCATAAGGCAAACAGGAAAAATTCCTGGCACAATCCAAATTCTTTGGGTTCTCCCCCAAACGTGTGCACATGCACGCATGTGTACACACGCACACACAACGTCCTGATTTACATACTTTTGTGAACATAGCTTTCTCCACAAAAGAAATCATGAATTCTAGGTTTTACTGGACATTTTTTTGAAAAGTAATTACTAGCCTATAATATTTTATTTCATAGAAGAAAAACTTATGTTCTTCATCTCAAATTAATTCATTCCAGAAAATGTAGGGTTTGAATAATGATTGGATTCTATATAGACTTGCTGGTGTTTGTCTTTTCAATGTATTGTTTTGCAGCCATTATTATGAGAAGAGCCCCAGGATGGCTAATACATCACCAGGTTTCACTGCAAATTTCATTTGCTAGTGGCACAATTAGAAGATTATTTGCTGGAGAAAATTAATTTTAACTGTTCAATGGCTCAGTAATTACAGAATATACATTCCAACAAGTGCTAGCTTACTGATACCAGCAGAAATCAAGCCAAAATATTTGTCAGAGCTTTATTCACCAAAGTCTGGATTCCGATTTCATACTTCACTGATTTAAAAAGTAGTGAAGAAAATGAAATTTAAATGTCTCTCCATGATGAACTTCCCATGCAAATAGCACCCATCTATGTACATCACTGAAGGTACACAGATAATTCCAGAGAATCGAGGACACATGGGAACCCCATCGGCCCTTCCCACTCCCCACTCCCTGTCGGTGAACAGGACCATGCTGCCTCCCTCACAGAAAACACTAACAAACATGAAGAGATCTGAGAAGAGAAACGCCTCAAAGTCTCAGTATTTCGGCCATGTGTCCAAAACATTTCAAATAGACTATGACAGTTTCCCTCTCAAATCAAGGATCTAACAGGGTCTATTAGAAAATGTCTCAACCTGCAGGACAGAGGAAAGAGGAGCATGTACCAAGCATGTTCGGACATGTTGGCCCGTGCTTCCAAGCTTCCTTCCTCATCAGCTCACAAATAAAACACATGCTGATTTTACAAGGAAATGTTTGGGGGGGGAGATTAAATACTTTTCATTATACATACATTGAAAAGGATTTTAAAGTCAATTTTAGTAGCAACATATTCTCCTACCTGAATACTGGCTTCTGTAGGAAATCAGAATTCAGCATACATAGTGTCTAAGTCCACAAAGACACCCAGACCGAGTGGAGTCAACAAAAGACCAATATTTCTCACAGTTCTGGAGGCTGGGAGTCTGGGATGAGGGTGCCAATGTGCTTGGGTTCTGGTGAGGGCCCTCCTGGTCCATGGTCCTTCTCGAGAGTCCTCACATGGCAGCAAGGACACCGAGCTCTCTGGGGTCCCTTTTACAAGGACACTGATCCCGTTCATGACTGATTCGCCTCCCCAAAGCCCCACCTCCTAACACCCACCCTGGGGATTAGGTTTCAACATAGGAATTTTGGGACATCACAATAATTCCGCTTACATCGCGGTTACAGTGATATATAACGTAGCATACAATCAAGCCTGAAAACAACCATCACAAAATCAGACATCTATAAAGGAATGTGTTCTTGTCAGTGAGTCCTCACACACAACAGCATCAGCATTGTAAGAAACTTAACTCTCAAATGTCATGGCATTAGTCCAATACCTCTGGGCAACTCGGATGTCTATGGATTAAGATTTTCCTTCAAAAACAATAGGATGTTAAATTTGCATCTTCGCAGATGCAATTAAGAATTCAGATCACGTCCTCTCTGGGCTCGGACATAGTTTGCGGCGGTATGGCTAAACGCACCAAGAAGGTCGGAATCGTGGGTAAATACGGGACCTGTTATGGTGCCTCCCTCAGGAAAATGGTGAAGAAGATTGAAATAAGCCAGCACGCCAAGTACACTTGCTCCTTCTGTGGCAAAACAAAGATGAAAAGACGAGCTGTGGGGATCTGGCATTGTGGCTCCTGCATGAAAACCGTCGCTGGTGGCGCTTGGACCTACAACACCACTTCTGCTGTCACAGTAGTCTGCTATCAGAGGACTGAAGGAGTTGAAAGACCAGTAGAAGCTTCACCATTTGAAACATTACAAGCCTATAATAAATGGGTTAATTTATGTAACAAAATTACTTTGGCTTGTTGTTAAATTTATTAATTAGATCTTTCAATTTGTGTTTTGCATTAGTTTTGCTTTCTCAAAGGCCTTGGAAATTAAAGAGTCCTAATTTTTATTGGAAAAAAAAAAAGAATTCAGATCACAAGCCAGCTTGGTCACAAAATTACACTATCTGGGTGGGCCCCCAAATCTCACGTTACTAACTGAATTCAGAGTGTCTTTGGGGGAGCACCATGCAGAAGATGAACACAGCAACCCCCTCCCAAGAATTTCACCTTTACCTCAGCCCTGGATGAACTTCCTCAACTAAAATCCATATAAAAGGAGTCACTTACAGACAAAAGTAAACTAATGAGGAGATTACTCTCTCAACTGAGAGAAAACAACTAAAATAACAGGAAACAGGGCACCTGAGTGGCTCAGTCGTTAAGCGTCTGCCTTCGGCTCAGGTCATGATCCCAGGGTCCTGGGATCGAGCCCCGCATAGGGCTTCCTGCTCGGCGGGGGGCCTGCTTCTCCCTCCCCCACTCTCCCTGCTTGTGTTCCCTCCCTCGCTGTGTCTCTGTCAAATAAATAAATAAAATCTTTAAAATAAAATAACAGGAAACAGAAACAGGTTTCCAGCACGGGCATCACAGATGCAGAAGGACAATATTTCAATAAAAGCAAGGACCAAGAAACTCTGAAGAACGACACACATGATTTGAAAAAGAACAAGGGAGAATTTTTAGAAATGAGATATTAAATAATTTAAATTTAAAACTCAATGAATTGGCTTGATAGTGTCTTATACACAGCAGAAAAATTAGCCAAAAGATCCATGTGTACAAAGTACCTAAAGGACAGCACAAAGATAAAAGAGAGAAAATCGGGACAGAGGGGAGGACTCCCGGAGGTTAGCGTCAGTGAGGAAGGCCAACCCACATCGACTGCGAGGCAGAAAACACAGAAAGTGTAAGACAGAGGCATCCTCTGAAGACACAATATGGCTGTTGAAAGTTACCAGACTCCAGAGAGTTCAATCTATTAGCTACTTGGACGTATCACTTAAACCACAATACACTGGAGTTAAAGGAAATATATTTTAAATAGCCAGAAAAGATAAAATATTACTTTCAAATAAGTAAATTATGATAACTGATTTCTCATCAGCAACCACGAAGTTAAAAGACCATAGAAAAACACCTTCCAGGGAACCCGGTGGCGCAGTCGGTTAAGTGTGCAACTCTTGGTTTCTGCTCAGATTACAATCTCAGGGTCATGAGATCAAGCCCCACCTCGGGCTCTGTGCTCAGTGAGGAGTCTGCTTGAGATTCTCTCTCCCCCTCTGCCCCTCCCCCAAGTCGTTCTCTCTCTTTCTCTCTCTTTCTCTCTCTCTCTCTCTCAAATAAATAAAAAAAATAAAATCTTCCCCAAATAAAGAAAAAGAGAAACACCTTCTGTGGACTGAAGGACACTATCATTTACAGAATCATACATCTATAAAAACATACATGAAGAAGGAGGGAGAGAGGCTTCCATCCCTGGGGACCATGGACTAAGTAACTCTGATCAACCTGTCCACTAAAAACTAACAAAATTGAACAAAATGAAAGCATTTACTTGAAACTTTAGACATCTAACAAAATAATGAGGAATTACCAGGCCAAGATCCAGGAAATAAAGAAAATCCAAGCATGTGAGCCCACTATCTGGGGCCACTGCAGCCCAGGGATTACTGCCCACTGTGGACAGATGGCTGAGAGGTTGAACCATGTCTTTGACAGGCTCAGTGCCCAGCAAGCAGAAGCACTTGCTCAGGGCACACCAGCAACAGGGCTCCTTGTGAACTACCCATCTTTGTGAACTGGGACCCCAGTGGGGTCCATCCTGTCTTCAAGTCATCTGGGTGGCCCAAATTATCACACAGTCTGAAGTTGTATTAAGGTGATCATGAAGAGTTGATGACAGGTTATCTGGCCAAAATACACAAAAAGTCAACTTTGGCAAAAGACAGTATCACCCTAGGCCACAAATTATTTCTGCAAGTAAGTTTTGAAAGTAATGTCCAGCACACAAAGATAACTAGGCAGACAGAGAGAGAAGACAGCATGACAGAGAACGGGCAGTAACAGCCCTATAGCCGGGCTCCCTCCTGGCTCCCTGGTGCTAGGGAGAGCCAGCTGCTGAGGCACCTGTGGAGAGGCTCCCACAGCAGTGATGAAGCTTCCTGCCTCAGCCCTGGGAGTGAGCCTGGAAGCACCCACCCCAATCAGGCCTTCAGACGATGGTAGCCAGCAGGCTGACTGCAACCTCATGGAAAGTCTCTGAGCCAGAACCACTCAGCTAAGCTGCTCTTGAATTCCTGATCCCAGAAACCATGAGATAATAAAGCTTTTTTAAGCCAAAAGCTTGGGGTGATCGGTTATCTGGCAGTAGATAACTAATGCACCGTCCTAGAGAGAGTCTCACCCATATGCACCAGCAGACATGCAAAAGAATGTTTACAACAGGGCCGTTGTTTATTTCAGCATAAAATTTAGAAAAACCCAAATTAGCCATCAAATGATCAGATAAGTAAACTGGTAGTTTAGTCAATGAAAGAACACATGGCAGTAAAAGTGAATGACCTACTATTGACATGGATGAACCTCACAGCCTATTGCCCCGTGAGAAAGCAACTAACAGAAAACTATATACAATATGATAGCATTTATATAAAGTACACAAACATGAAACATTGAAAACTCTGTCCTTTGAGGATCCATTATCACGGAAGGATGATACAAAAGCCAAAATAGTGGTCACCTGTGGAAAAAGGATGGGGATGGAGGTGGCAGGTTTTCAAACACCAGTCGTGCTCTCTCTTGATCCAGAGTGTGGTTTACACAGAGTTTTGCTTAAACTATACATAGAATTGTATACACTGCTGTATATACAACACATTTCACAATAAAGGAAATGAGTCAGCAACAGCATCAGCACAGGCAGTCTGCCTTTTAAAGGCAGACACAAGACATGGGTGATGCTGCCCCAGGTGAGGAATTCGTGGAGGATAAGGAACAATTTCCTCCTTGCATTTGTAAAGAAGCTTTTTCAGAGGTCCCGCATCTAAACAGAATCTGTCATAGTAGCGACCCCTTTCTTTTTTACGGGGATTTGTTCTTATCTCCCCAAAACATACACTACAAAGCTCTCAAAGCCCCTACAGCACCGCAACTCTGCGCCACAGGAAGGGAAGAACAACAGCTATTTGTTGAAGAACTGCAAGCTTGAATTTTGGGTTGCAAAGACATTTGTATAATGACAGTTACTAAGAAAGTTTAGAGAACTTGTAAGAAGATTGGAGCACCCCTGAGAAGAAAAGTATGGGTATAAACAGGACTGCGCTGTATAACCCCATATGCAATAAGACCTCAAAGGGATTGTAATGCCAGCATCAGGCAAAACAAAAAGGAATCAAACTGACATTTTGAGTGGACACCATCCAGTATGACTAACCAGTTGAATATGGCCAACCAATTTCCATTAGGATTTCTACAGTGACCCCACTTTTATACACGGATGCACTTCCCCAAGACAGCTAACATCTCTCCCGCAGATTGTCTTGATCTCAACAGACACGGTGGGGAGGGAGGGGGGAGTGTTTCTTTGCTCTCCGCAGACTTTCAGAGTCTGTGCTGTAGGCCAGCATTGCTTCTGGGCCAGGATTCTGGAGGTCACGGGTACAACGCTTGCAAGGCCTCAGTCTAGCAGGAGACACCGCTGGGAGATGCTCGGATTTCACACCTTGGCAAGTGCGTTCATACTCGAATGCCCAGCCGGCTATGGCAGAACACCAGTCTGGGGCAAGCCAGCAGAGGGACAAGCCACGCAATCAGACCCAGATCTGATTCCTGCCTTCCAACGTGCTTCCCCAGTATTCCCCGGCATGGCTAACTTCTTCCTCCAGATCTTCGAGCCAAGGTCACCTTTTCAGAGAGGCCTGCCCTCGTGGTCACTGCCCGCCCACTCCTCGTCCCCACGCCCTTTCTGACACTAATACACCTGCTGAGAGCAGGTGGACGCCAGCCCTGCCCACCACCGGCAGGAGGGGGCTGTGCGCACAGGTGTGCTGTCCACCGCACTAGCGAGTCACCGGGTACAGAACGCCGCCGGCACTCGTCAGGTCACCGTGAGAAGGGGGCGACAGTGCGCCTCCGTGCTTGCGCTCACCGGGTCACGGAGCAGAGGGGGACCCGTGCGCCTCGCGCACTCGCCTCGTCACCGCCAACAGATGGCGACAGATGTGCCGCCCGCGCTCTCCGGGTCACCCCGCACAGAGGGCAGAGGGCGACAGGTGCGCCGCCCACTCGCCGAGTCGCGGCGCAAAGAGCGGCGGGCCGCGCGCGGAAGGGGCGCCGCACTCACTCGAGCTTCTTGAAGGGCTCGCGGCCGGCCGCCACGTACTTGCCGCCCGCCTGCAGCGCCTGCAGCTCGAGCACCGGGTGCCCGCGCGTCGGCGTGAACAGGCGCCGCACGCCGCAGGGCGCCTCCACCTGCTCGGTCAGCTGGTCCAGCAGCGCCTCGAAGGTGGCCACGCGGCGCCGCGGCAGCACGAACCTCCGGCCCGCGAAGAACGCGTCCCCGTTGCGGTACACCAGGATGGTCTTGGCGGGCGTGGTGTCCACCAGCACGTGCGGCTCACGCGTGCCCATGGCCCCACCGCCCCAGGGCCGCCGCACACCACTCGCTGCACTCGAGCCGTGGGGCAGCCAGGGCGTGGGCGTGCGACTGCGGTGTGCCCCGGCTCCCCGCCCGCGCTGACGCCAGCCGGCCATTGTGACCACCTGCACCCCTGAGAGGGGCAGGACGATGGCCAGGTGAGGGGCGGCAGGGAGCCGGAACAGGTGAGGGCGCCGGCATCTGAGAGCCTGGAGAGGTGAGGGGCAGGAGGAGAGCAGGCTAGGGGAGGGGGCATCAGCGAACCTAGACAGGCGAGGACAGCAGAGCTCAGGGAAAGGAAGGGAGACAGCCCCTCTTTGTGATCTACCTCTCTGCAGAGGCGGTAGGAATGGGAGGGTGCTGAGGATCCACCCCACACTCACCACAACCTTCCCACTACACTTGCCAGCCTCCTATGCCAGAGAGGTTGGGGACATGGGGGGGCGGGCATCAGGATTGTCTGGATAATCAAAATTGTGTCAAGGAAGAATTGTATGGAATCACTGAGAGCCTGTGAGAAACTGGATTACTCCTCACAGCTAGCACCCGGTTTCTCAAAGGTTAAACATTCAGAATGCACTTTCATTTGGGGAAGAACAATTCAAGGTTGCGGGTGCCCTTGTGGAAGTTATTCCTTTTCTGGGTAGAAATGGGCCCAGAAAGAGGATGGGTCCTCTTGAGCTGAGACAATCAATGATTCCAGAAATCTATTTTTCCAATGGTTTTGATAGGCTTATGCTTTTAAAGGCAATAGGCTATGAATACATAGCCTGCCAAATCTACAGACAGAAGGTACAGAATATGCTATAAATAGCAAGATCTTGTAGTAGTTTTTAAAAGTCATCTTTATGAGACCGCCTGCTTTTCATAGCCACAGCCAGTTTTTAACCTACCACACACTTCATAGCAACAGTAAGTACAGATGTCAACGTGTAAGAGTGACCACTTTATTAAATCACCAGGAATTATGTTGATCTTAGAAAGATTCATTGCTAGGAACCTCTTAAGTTTTAGGTGTTAAAGACACTTCAGGAGAAGCGTGGGACTGTGTCATCCCGTAGCCCGCGCCGGCCACGCGTGGAGTCAGAGGTTGGCTCGGAAGCCCGCTTTCACGAAGAACCTCATCTTGGGCTTCTCGCAGGGCCGCAGCAAGCAGATGGAGCTGGGGAAGCCCTTGAGTCGCAGACGGCTCACGCCGCCGTCGGGGGAGATGGTGAGCCTCGCGTGCGTGATGACGTCCTGGAGCTCCAGGGTCAGGCTGTTGAACAAGTGACTTTCGTTGGCGGAGAGCTGAAAGAGAGGCCAGGAAGAAGCCCTTGTGGTAACGCAGTGTGGGGCCCAAATGTGCTGGCCCGCCGAGCCGTCTGTCCGTGTGGACTCAGGGCCCATGAACCATGACGGTTACTCACTCACAGTAAGTTGGCCTACCACAGAGAAAAGCTAGTCGGGATCTCAAGCCCGGGGATTACTGACATGACCACTCGGGTCCATGTTTGTGGTTCTTAATAGTTAATGAAGTGGACACACTGATAAGGAAAAGTAAGTGACCTCCCAGAGGTCGTCACCCATCACTCCGTGGGAGCAGCCCCCATGCCCCATTCTGAACCACAAATGACTGTCTTCCCACTGGATGGAAGAGGACACTTCTGGAACATCTCAGCATCCATCCCACAAGAGGACACGCTGTTATAGCTTTAAATATGCTACTCATCCCTTCTAAAAGTTAATATACTGCAGAAACACCTCCATATACATATATATGGAAGTATGTATATATTCTTTGCACATGATGATTTAAAACAAAACTTGGTTGTTAGAAATGCAAAGGTATGAACTAGAGCCTGTGTTTTCATGACATAAATGCACAGATAACGGTTTTTAGAAGCTCGTCCGCGTTACTGTGAAGCTGATCAGAAGGTTTGGAAAGCGAATCTGAGGGATGCGGCCGGGCTGGGACCCAGCCTGCACAGCTCCCCGTGGGTGCCACACCTTGGTGACTGGCAGAAGTGGTTTCCACTTATGGCCCGGAAGCTCCCACTTCTGTTTGATCATGTCTTCTTCCTCCTGAGTCGTCAGGATACAACCATCCAGCTTACAGCTGTCGGGAGAATTGCCTGTCAGAGCAAATGCAGGGTGACTCTCTCCATTCTATTTATACTCAGCACTTTGGCTTATAGGGTCTTGGACTTTTTAATCGAATCAAAGACCCAGCAAAGAACAGATTGTTCTCTCCAAACAGAAGCAAAGGTGTGACATATGTGAGAGAAGGAAAGCACCCAGCAGTGTTGGGGTTGGATCGCCTGATGAAAAGTAGGTGTGTGTTTTTCAGAGGAATCAGAATCGACCTGACATCATTAGCCGGCTGGCATGTTGGAGTTTGGATGTGCAGCATTTTACTTTGAAAGTTGAAGGCAATAAGCACCCTAGATTGCAGTTAAGTACTTGCATGGGGCTGTGTAGTTCATCTGAAACTATTTTGAAGCTGAAAGATACTTTCCTATGGCATCATATGTCGTCACGTGAAGTAAAGAGAAAGACCGAGCTAAGTTAACCAGTCAGTGAGCAGCACCAACCCAAGTGCTGTATTCCAGGTGTGCTAACGGTTCCCCAGGTGAGACTCAGGGTCCTGAGTCTCTCTTCTCTCTGGAATTCGTCAGGGTTGTGTCCAGTGGGGTTGGAGGGCCACGCTCTTTATGGGAAGAACCGCTTTAGGGATCCCCTAAGACTTTAGGAGGGGTTGCTGATAAAGAACCTGACAGAAGGGGCGCCTGGGTGGCTCAGTCGGTGAAGTGTCTGCCTTCGGCTCAGGTCATGATCCCGGGGTCCTGGGATCGAGGCCCACACTGGGCTCCCTGCTCAGTGGGGAGTCTGCTTCTCCCTCTCCCTCTGCCTGTCACTCCCCCTGTTTGTGCTCTCTCTCTCTCTCAAATAAATAAAATCTTAAAAAAAAAGAACCTGACAGACAGAAAAAAAAAATGCATTGTTCTCATGCCCCCTATAGCTCATCTCTTAAAACGGTTACCTCCAAGGTGGGTGAGCACACTCCCGGGTGCACACAGAAACCCAAAAGATGCAGGAGGAGAACATGAAAGGCACTATTTCTGTTTCTATTTCTCTAATATCTATGCACATACATGCGTATCTATTAGGCCTTGTGTATTTGAGAGGACAGCTAGATCCTGGCACGCCCCACACTCCACCACTGTCCTCATGTGATACACGAAACCTGGAGAGCAGACAGCAGCAAGTTCCTGACAGTGCAGTCAGGCACCCCAGTTACACGGACTTACTGATTGTTCCCTGGTTTTAAATAAACTATCACTCACACAATTAACAAGTGATTTTAAACTATCCATGCAGACACCCATGGATTAAAGATACCACCAGAAATGCAAGCAGCCACAAACCACGAGAAAAAAGCAGAGCTGACATCACCACTGACCCAGAATTGAGCTCTTCATCAGCTGTGTTATTTACCCCAAAGACACAGATGTAGTGAAAAGAAGGGGCCCCTGCACCCCAGTGTTCATAGCAGCAATGTCCATAATAGCCAAACTATGGAAGGAGCCTAAAATGCCCTACAACAGATGAATGGATAAAGAAGATGTGGTCCATAAATACAATGGAATACTATTCAGCCATCCGAAAGGATGAATACCCACCATTTGCATCGACATGGATGGAACTGGAAGGGATTATGCTAAGCAAAGTAAGTCAAGCAGAAAAGTCAATTATCATATGGTTTCACTCATATGTGGAACATAAGGAATAGTGTGGAGGACCACAGGGGCAGGGAGGGAAAGCTGAATGGGAAGCAATCAGAGAGGGAGACAAACCATGAGAGACTCTGGACGCCGGGAAACAAAATGAGGGTTGCAGAAGGGAGGGGGGTGGGTGGGTGGGGTAACTGGGTGATGGTATTAGGGAGAGCATGTACTGTGATGAGCCCTGGGTGTTATATGCAACTAATGAATTGTTGAACACTACATCAAAAACCAATGATGTGCTATATGCTGGCTAACTGAACATAATAAAAAAATTAAGAAGAAAGAAAGAAAACAGTGACCTAACAATCAGATCTAAAGTAGTCTTCCAAAAATAAGTCACAATGATCAATACTTCTTGAAATAATTCAATTAAATCCACTACCACTGAAGAAGAGCTTCACTTTAAATATATATTGTGTCTTGGTGTGGTAACTGAAGTCACAATGATTCACAAGACATTTAAACATCAAGGCATCCAAAATAGGAGTATAAACGGCCGTTTACTGACAACTAAACAATCACAAAACATCCAATCCAGTATGTATGAAAATTTCACCCAACAGTTATAAAGGTTTAATATCTGCTCTTGAACTTTGTCGATATAATGACACATGTATACATTTCATGAGAATGTAGGTTTTGAATATCAGGGGTGCTTGTGCAAATATTTTTTTTTTAAATGGAAGGGCATGGTTTTGAAAATGTGTAGCTCCCTGCCTTAAAAGTCCATTCTGGAGTGGAAATGGTCACCCCCAACCAATCTGCCTCATCCCCCTCCCCCTGATAAGAAGATGCCATCCAGTTCCTCTCACATCCTAACCAGAGGCTATTTCACACTCATTCCAAGCGAGATCCAGGGCCCCTATAGTAAAGAGTCTTCACAGAATCTCGTCTGACTTTGGGGGGTCATCCAGTTCAACTCTGACATTTTATAAAGACGAAAAGTAGGGCACCAAGAGTAAGAGGAAGTTGCTCAAAACCTCACATCTGCTGAGGGTAAAAGCTGAGTGTCTAGCCCACCATCCTGAGCTCTACTCCCACAGGACCACATTATCTCTATAACCAGCCTACTGGTTATATGTACTTCCTGACAGCCTTACACTTACCTTTAAAATGTGTTGTATCAATTTCTATTTGAGTTATTACTCCAGGATGTGCCAATCGGAAAACTGCCCATTCACAACCCAGAACAAGGAGAATGCCATTCTCATCATTCTGGAATCCAAAAGGAAGCAAAAAAAAAGATAAGAAAGCTTAGTGCCATTTGAGAAACTAATTCTGGAAACCAGCAAGTGAAAAATGTTGACATATATTTATGATATTTCTTTTTTTTTCTTACTATAAAAGTGTGTTTCCTAGGCCCTGATATGTAAATTACATTTTGTGTTAATTGCCCCTTTGCCTATTATTCATCAAATGCCTCAGGTGGACTCATGAGCTTATTGGGTAATTGGTAAGATTTTATAAATTTTTGATATGATTGTCTATGTCGATGTAAACTCATGTAGAAGGGTCTGTGTCTAACAGAGCCCCCAGTCCTCGGATCAATTTGTTTTGATCTTTCAAAGTAGTTATGTTCTTGGTCAAATCCATACCAATATATGATCTGCACCCAAACCTTAGTTTCTGGCAATGGGATTATGTTCATTTTCTTTGGAAGTATTGGTTGACATGAACACTGACCCAAGAAAGAGGGTTTACCAGTAAGTTTTCAGTGGGATTAACACACAGAAAGGTGTTTTGTTTTGCTTTTGTTTTGACTTTTGCATCTCACATTAGTCACTGGCCAAAATGAACAGCTGAGCCATCTCGAGAGACCCCGATCTGTCACACATCCACACAGGTGGTCTCATCCGGGGGCACACAGATGCCAAAAATGATTCAACTGGTGTTTTCTTCTCCAGGCCAACCAACAGATTTATCCATGGGTTTTCTATCGTTACATTGTAGATCCTCATTTCTTTATTAAAGAAATGGGGTTGGGGGGCGCCTGAGTGGCTCAGTCTGTTAAGCATCCAACTCTTGATTTTAGCTTAGGTCATGATCCCAGGGTCAGGAAATTGAGTCCCAAGTCGGGCTCCAAGCCCAGTGGGGAGTCTCCCTGAGGATTCTCTCTCTCCCTCTCCCTCTGCCCCTCCCCACCCCCACGTGTGCTCTCTTTCTCTCTCTCAGGGGCGCCTGGGTGGCTCAGTCGGTTAAGCGTCTGCCTTTGGCTCGGGTCATGATCCCAGGGTCTTGGGATCAAGCCCCACGTTGGTGGAGGGAGTCTGCCTCTCCCTCTCCCTCAGCCCCTGCTCATGCTCACTCTCTCTCTCTCTCTCTCAAATAAATAAATAAAATATTTTTAAAATTTTAAAAATTAAAAAAAATATAGAAACAAGGACAGGGCAGTGATGCCTTAGAGTGGCTGGTGTGGCCAGCACAGGGGCCTTCCGGGTTCTGCCCCGACAGTACATTGAGGCAGCAGGGGATCCGGAAAACATGGAGAACTACTTCTGGAACATTGCCTGAGAGGTTTCTGAAATAAGCATTTCCTTGATGTAAATTTGAAACAAGATCTGGAAAACTTTATTGTGGCTGTTTTGGACTCCTCACCTCTAATACTGGCGGCCTGTCCCGCCTTCTTGCAGGCTCCCAGCCATCTGCCACGGACCTGGCCTTTCCAACTCCTGCCGAGAATGACATGGTTTAAGGGGAATGTCACAGGATTTTATCTTAAATGTGAGAATGAATGCACTGGCATTCCCATGCACCTGAGCATTGCTATACAAATCATTTTTCTTCAACTTAATGTTTTGGTAAATTCACATACAGCCAGAGGGTTAGTAAGTTTTACTTTTCCCTTTAGGCCAAAATTAGGAAGGAAAATCGCTCTTGATTTACTTCACATCATAAAGGCATCAAATCCTGTGTATTGATGGCTAATCCCATCCACTCCTGTGCTTCCTCTTAAATCATTCATAACATATGGGGTGCTTAATGCTGATGCCCACACATCCCAAATAAAGGCCAGGTCCCAGAGCATCACCTTACCTATCACATTGTTTGGATGCCCAAAGTGTGCATTGCTGAATCCTACACAGGCACCCCCGTGAGCGATGGTCACTAGGTCAAAAGGTTCTTTGGGGTCAGTTGCAGTCCAGTCTTTCTGTCCAGTACCATATACTCTAAGACGTGCAATTCCACCATCTAAGAAGGAAGGAAGACATAGTTATTTACTTGGAAAGGTGGCTGTTTTGGGGTCATAAATGACAAAGCCCTCCACAGCCTGCCTGCACTGTTTCTCAAACACACCAACTCTACTGCCCCAGGGCCTTTGCACCTACCATTCCTTTGTACTGGAACAACTTTCCCAGCTCTCCAAAAGACCACTTGTTGTTTTTAGGTCTCACCTTTAGTGTCATAGTCTCAGAGACTTTTTCTCTCACTCTCTAGCTACCTCCTTCCAGCTCTGCCTGGCCCTGCCTGATTCCCCAGGTTGGGTGTACCATCCCTTCCCATATTTATTTCAGAGTTCAATTCACAGTCTGAAATTATCTTGTCATTTTATTTGTTTAAGCCCCTGCTGATATCAGTCTCCCAGAACCAGAGTATAAAATCTTTGCAAGCCAGAATAATGATCTATCTCTATCATCTCTATCTAGAACTGGTCCTGGCACATAGTAGGTGCTCACATTTTTTACTGCATTAATAACTCCAAGGTCAAAATGAAATTGGGAAATTCACCATAAATATAATGTTTGATGCCACAAATTAGCATTGCTAAATCCTACACAGACTCATACATGAGCATTATGTTTTTATTTTTGTAACAACATATTGCTTAGCAATGTGATTGAGAATAGAAAAGATAATATGCACAAAACCGGATCGCTTCTGAGAACCACAGCAGCCAAGATTAGGTCTGCAGAGCAGAGAGTACCTGCCAACATCAACTCACATTATCTGATTCTAATAAAGTGAATATTTTTATTTGTTTGGCCAGTACTTCCTAGAAGATGGGAGCAAGCTTTGTATATATAGATTTTTTCATTAACCAGAGTATTCTACTGAAACCAAACGCCATATATTTTTACATAAAAAATTTGATGAAACCGAGTGATCTGAAAAAATTTCAGTAGAACAGTCTTGACATTTACAATAAATAAAACCAGACTATGTTAGCATAATACCCTAAAAAAATATACTAGAGGGAGTAATTTAGCAGAAGCTAACCTATGAGCACCAATGCTCTGGTTCACGGGACATGGTGATCCTCTTTGGTGGTATTAGAAGATACTTGTTTGTTGAGTGTAAAGCTGACTTGATATTTTAAAAAAATAAGATTCTTCTTTACAGAGTTAATATCCAGCCTCACTTTTAATCAAAACTATCAAGGATATTAGACATGCCTGTCCATGCTCTGAGGGTGACTCATTTAAAGCAACCTGTTGCCACCCTATATGTCCCATCAGGTTGCCCTACTGCTTCCTTCCCCTTTATACTTGGACCCCAGGAGAAAATATTTGCAAATCATATATCTGGTAAAGGATATGTATCTAGGATAATATAAAGAACTCTTACAATTCAATAATAAAAAACAAAAACCCAACTTAAGAATGGGCAAAAGACACTTTTCAAAAAAAAAAAAAACATGTTTATATATACACGTGTACATATACACGTGTATATATAAACATACTCAAATGGCCAAAGTAAGGAACTGAAAATATGCTCCCCATCATTAGTCATTAGAGAAATGCAAATTAAAACCACAGTGAGATACCACTTCACATCCTCTAGGATGGCTACAATCAAAAAGTCACATAAAAGTAAGTGTTAGCAAGGATGTGGAGAAATTGGAACCCTTCACACTGCTGGTGAGAATATAATATAATGCGGTCATTTTAGAAAATAATCTGATAGTTCCTCCCAACAATTAAAAACATAGTTATCATATGACCCAAAAATTCCAACCTTACATATATACCCAAATGAAAAACTTGTACAGGAATATTTATAGCAGCATTATCCATAGGTAGCCAACAGGTGGAAACAGCCCAAATGTCCATCAACTGATGAACTGGATAAACAATATGTTATATCTGTACAGTGGAATATTATTCTGCCATGAAAAGGAACAAAGTACTCCTAAGAATGCTACAACATGGATGAGCCTTGAAAACATGCTAAGTGAAAGAAGCGAGTCACAAAAGACCATTTATATGAAATGTCCAGAATGGTCAACTCTGTCAAGGCAGAAAGTAGATTAATGGTTGCTTAGGGCTGAGGGAGATGAGGGTTGATAGTAAGGGTATAGGATTTCTTTCTGAGGTGATAAATCCTTCTAAAATTGACTGTGGTGATGGTTGCACATTGCTGTATATTTCTGTAGACGTTAAACCATATACTGATGTATACTATAAACCACTGAACTGTGCACTTCAAGTAGGTGAGTTGCATGGTATGTGAACTACATTACAATAAAGCTGTTAAATGAAAGAAAATGAGGGTCATTTGCACAAACTACTTGATCTGCTAGTGTGCCCAGTGAAATAGAAATCATTAAGAGATATTTAACCTAATACAGCTCAGTTCCATCATATCCTAATTGACCTAATGCTTTTTCGATAACTACCAATGGATGGTTGGGTTGGAACAAGAATTTCCTAGAACACAAAAAGGACAAATTATAACCCTAAAATGTTAGGGCGATGAATGACTTCACTCTGAAACATGCCCACATTAAGCAAAGAAGCCACAGAACGGCAGATGGGTCCACACCATATTTACCTGGGAAAATGTTGAGTCTCACGTGACTCCATCTCTGCTGGGAATTGACAGGAAAATAATTGTGGCTGGAAGCAGGCTTTCCTGGTTTAAGCTCTGTCATAGGGACCAGGTAGTTCCAGTCACTGGACTTCAGCTAGCAATAAATATTAAAATGTTAGCAGCGGCACCAGGGAACAGTAAATTTTCTCATCCTAGTGCTCACGTGGGGCCTACAGGATAGAGGTACTTTGGAATAAAAATTGATGATTGATGTCTAATAAAATACTTTAATAAAAATACTAATAAAGATTAAGTCCCAGGTTTACTAAACAGAAAAAAGGCTTGAGGGTTTTTTCATCCTGATCAAAATAGCCACTGGGTGATGGTGGCAGGAGAACAGGCAGGGGGGGTTGGGAACGAAGGATAAGACCTGAGATTCCCCTCTGGGGATTCTTAGAAGAAACCAGAACGGCTATGTGAACATTCAGTAAAAACTGGGCTGTCCTCATGGACCCTGAGACCTAGGGTTGACCAGTTGACCTGAATGTTGTGACCATTTCCTTCAGATTCTTGCTCTTTAAACTGTTGTTTTTAGGGGCACCTGGGTGGCTCAGTCGTTAAGCAGCTGCCTTTGGCTCAGGTCATGATCCCAGGGTCCTGGGATCGAGCCCCACATCGGGCTCCTTGCTCTGCGGGAAGCCTGCTTCTCCCTCTCCCACTCCCCCTGCTTGTGTTCCCTCTCTTGCTGTGTCTCTGTCAAATAAATAAACTCTTAAAAAAAAATAAACTTGTTTTTATTTTCCGGTCTGTTATGATCAACACTTTTGTAAAAACAGTATAAATTAATTACTAGACAAACTTAAAAAAAAAGAATGTACCAAAACAGAAGCCCAAGTTGTTTATCAAACTCATCAGGCATAAAGTTTGCTTTGTCAAACTGCTATGTAGAAGTACGTAAGCTATTACTGTGGATTTCTGTATTTATCTCATCAGAGCAGCATCCGGCGGATGAGCACGGGTAAGCAGAGCACCCTGAGACACACTACTCCAGACCTCACACGGGCCATGGCATTCCCTCGTACAGGGGTTGCATGAACCACTCGAGAAGCATCTGCAAAGTCACGCTGGGTCAGTAAATGAGGGGACGTGTACCCGGGTTGAATGTCCCAAAGAAGTACTCTCGTGGCCAGCCATACAGAGCGGTTCCCTTGCCGCCCCAACCACCATGACAGGCCCCCGATCCTGTTTGCGGGCGCACCTCAGCAATGGCCTCAAACTCCTCTGCCGTGGCTGCCACTCCTATCCTGATTCCTCTCTGTGGGATTTCTGGTTGTTTATCTGAAGGTAGATTGACCAATAGGGTTATGGTTCGTGTTCAAAATCAAAAAGAACATACTCTCATAGTGGGCTGTATGTTCATTTTCATTTTGCCAAATAAGCCCGAAGATGACATTTCCTAAGTCAGAGTGTCAGATGACCAAAGTAATAGACACACTTGAAGTTCCTCGATATTTAAAACGCTAAGTAATTCCAAAAAGTCCCGCAAAACATGTGGTAGGACATTTACTTGTCAAAATAGTACATACCATTTCCAGGTTAAGTCCAACTGCAACAAATGTATCAAGAGTAGAGTTTTTAGAAGTTGGATCAATGGAAATTCTGGAACATTGCCAGGTCAGTTCCAGAAACAGGACTCCCCCCCACCCCACCCTGCGCATCCTTGGAATTGATATTTGGGCGATATCTGGGACAACTGCTGGGCTTGCAGAAGGAATCTTACTGTTTGTCCTTAGTCACTTCCTGTCTCCAGAGTAGCACCTCTCCATCATCCCCTAACTTCTCAGGCTCCCCCACCGCCATCAGGAGCAGGGCGCATCCTTCCACAGAGCCTCGTACAGGGCTATGGATGCAGTGCTCTCAGCGTAAATTTGCCAACTGTCATGATTTATCTTCCCTAAGTACATGTATATGCACACACATAATGGTACCTTTTTCTAAAAAAAAAAAAAAATGCTGGGACCAACTTCAGATTATGCCAATTGAAGGAATAAAAACCCAGGTCTAACTTATAGAGCCTGTAGGATTCATGTGGTCCAGCATCCCACAAAGCAGCAAGGAACCCTTTCTGAAAACCCTGTGGCTACTGCATCATTATCCACGCTGGGAGAGCCAAAAAGAAGCTGATGCCACACATCCAGAGCTGGCCCAGACCTGGGTCCACACTGTCCAGGTAGCCCGCTGCCTGCCACCCTCCCCTGCAACCTCTCCCCAGACCTCACGGTGCCAGGAGGGTATGCCTCTGTGTGAGGCCTCAAGAGTGTGGGAATAATGAACTCTACATTTGGTCAAGCTAAAAATCAAAAATCACAGAACACTCTACTGGGAATCCAAGTTCTACAGCTCCGTGGCAGTAAAGTGGCCTTAGACAAGTCGCTGAACCTGTCTGGATGGAAAGTGCACATCAGGGGGCTGGGCCAGATGACCCCACAACCCCACAGTGCTCATTCTGGGGGCCGGTGGTTCCCAGGGCACCTTCTTCCAAGTTTGCTGCTTGAATTGACACTCGAGGAGCATAATCCCCCATGAAGTAAGAAATGTCCACATCGAAGCCTCGGATAATCCCTTGTATCCCCAGCTTGATGATGCACCAGTCGTGACCTACGAGACGTGAACAAGGACATCCTGTCAGGTTTAACTCGGCAGATGAAGTGTGGGGTCGAACAGAACTGAAATGAAAACAAGCAGCACCCTCCTCCTGGCACAGAAAAGTGCACACAGTTTAACTCTCAGCTGTGACTTAAAGATCTCCTATCACGTGGGCATATGTGGCCGCCGTGCCCCACGAGAACCCGTGTTCCAACCACAGCAGGACATGCATATAGGCCTTGGATCCAGGGAGACCGGATTCTGGTTCCAAAGTGAAAACTGGCCTCTCCGAGCCTCGTTTCTACAACTGTGAGATCAGCTTCCAAAAAGGTCAACTGTGACTGTGCACAGTGTAGACAAGACCCCACCCAGCTCAGCAGGTGCTCATTGTGGAGCTGGGCCTCCAGAAGTGGCATGCTCAGGCTCTGGGGACTTCCTGTGGGGCCCCACCCAGCTCGCCCCCCTGCATCTGCTAAAGTCTAAGAAGTCTCCAAGTTGTAGATCACCAAGTAGTTCTCGGTCATTTGCAGTCTGATGCAGACCCACCTTTAAATGCCCAGATTCATTGGAATCTGATCATGTCTGGAGTGGCTCAGTTGGTTGGGCGACTGCCTTCGGCTCAGGTCATGATCCTGGAGTCCTGGGATGGAGTCCCGCATCGGGCTCCCTGCTCAGCGGGGAGCCTGCTTCTCCCTCTGACCCTCCCCCCTCTCATGTACTCTCTCGCACTCTCTCAAATAAATAAGTAAATCTTAAAAAAAAAAAAAGAAAGAAATACCAGTATCTCTGTAATACTTGAAACAGACCCGCCCCCCCCAAAAAACCCAGTTATTAGCCTAATGCCGGATTAGTTTGCTTTTACGGACATTCCTTCAACTTCAAAAGGAGTATTTTGATTGAGCCTGATGAGTGGCAATGAAGAAAAGTAGATCCTCAGGTGACAGGAAGTATGTGCAGTGATGGGACCAGGGCTGAGTGAGTGAGGCTGCTTCCACAGCAGCTACGTGGGGATAAGAGCACCTGCCCCAGGGAACGGGGGTGAAGGCCCACCGCAAAAGCGCCACACTGCTTGGGGAGGTCCTCGCCACCCCCCACAGCTTCACCGACACTCGTCCCAGCCGTGTGCATACGCTCCTTCCCGCCTGCTGGTGCACACATGACCCCTTCCTACATCCTCAGAGCCTGATGTTCAGAAGGGTCATCGGAGATAGGGAGCATTCCAAGGGCCTGTGACAAACTGACCCGAAATGTACACAGGCTTTCCAGCACCGTGTTTAAGCTTCACCACAGTGAAAGAAAGCGAGATCTCGTTACCTGGAGTCCGTTTCCTTCTGGTCTCCCATCCATCCATCCACTTCCCAAACTCAGTGTATTTGTGTTCTTTGAAGCTTGGGCTGTCACTCTAAAGCAAAGATGCACAACAAGTCCATCATTAACAACACCCCTGCGAGTGCCTGGACTTCCGGCATACCCACTCCCACCCCAAAGGGACAGGGGGGCCGTGCCCGCAGGGACTCTGTGGGCATCCTAGGAAGGTACAGGGGAGTCTGCTACTACCTTCACACACAGGGACCCCATTCCAGATCGGGGGTGCCTCCTTATCTTTGTACCACCTCCAGAGAAAGAAATTCTGCTTCTCTGTGGGCCTCAATACACAGAATAAACTGTTGACAGCAATAGGTAAAGCCCCATCACAGTTCATTCTGCAGCCCCACAAACCACACAGCTCCTTGTTACAGCCTGTGTGCGTCCCGAAAGGAGCAAAGACAGAGAGGACAGAGTTCCCAAGCAACCTAGAAAAGCCTGCTTAATAAGGAATCTGGCCAAAGAGTCTAAGTGGCAGGCTGGATGCTCGGGCCCAGCTGAACACTTAAACCCCAGCCCTCAGAGCTGCCCACGGGGGGAAAAAACAGGATGGTGTGAGGCTCAGCTCAGCCCCTTATTGCCCCCTAGACAAATAGCTGAGCCTCCACTGCTTCATCCTGAAGAACGGGGATGGTGAACACATCACTTGCAGGGCTGTGATGAGGTTGAAATAATACCTGTGAAAGCCCCCATCAATAGCATAGACTCAGAAATTGTTCTGTGCTTGGTTGGTGGCCAAGCTGAGGGACATTTTCCCTTTTTACAACAACTCAAGTACAAGAAGAGTCTTACGTTTCTGCTTAGGAAAACCTCCCCAGCAGGTGCAGAGGAAAAGAACGAAGTCACAGACACACGGTATCGGGGCCAGGCTGGGCCCCCATGGAGCTGCCATGTGGGGCACAACCGAAGGTCCACACGTGCTCAGACTCAAAGCCCGACCTCCTGTGCCTCAGTTTCTTTACGTGTTAAAGGCAGATGATACAGTGCCGTGTTCCTTCTGAGGTCATGGCAAGCATTAAAATTTTTGGAGCAGTGCCTGGCATATGGTAAGTGCCCAATATTTGTTTAGCATTATTATGTCCAAGTTGGTGGCATTTGAATTGTGTCACAACCCAAACACATCTAAAGACAATCTGAACTCCAGTCTTTCCCGTGTCTGTAGAGGATTCAGAAGCTTTGTTGCTAACCCAGCAAGAGAAAAGGGGGTGCACCACCCACTGGAAGCCCAGCGCTCGCTCAGCCCCAAGCTTCCTGGTGCTCGGTGTAGTTTGGTGGTGGGCGGTCCTTGCCGGTTTCACTGTTGCCATGCTGTCGTGGCATCAGATCGACATGGAAAGAAACTTGCGACGCAACTGGAAACAGTGCTTTCACAAAAATGGTACTCACCAAATGAGGACAAATCAGCTCGTAAAAAAGGAACACCAAAGCCCCACCCAAGGGGCAAACCCGCACGTGTGCCGATCCCTGCACACGGATGTTTATCATAGGTAAAATTTAACCAACCTACATGTGCGTCAGCACAGGAAAGGGTCCCAGTGGGGTGAGGGACCCACTGGTGGGCAGTTCAGGGGCCACCAGACCACTGGCCCTCGGCATGGGCAGAACACGTGCATTCCTGTGCGACATGTCACAGAACGTTAAGTACTTTATAAGTACATGTATACAAATTTAAAACCAGACAGCAGTAGTACTTTCTATATACGGATATATTTATTTAAAGCATGAAATAGGAGGGAGCAAGATGGCGGAGGAG